ATTTAGTGAAATGAACTGAGGACCCACAGGAAAGAGCAGAAATTCCACGTATCGAATTTCGTAACTCTCCAGACTCCCAAAACAAAGTTTTTCTAAAAAACAAAGGTATAATGAAAGGAAAAAAAAAAAAAAGAATAGGGCTGACAGGAAGCAGCGGGATGCTGCCTTGAGATTTAAGGTTTCCTCCAGGATGCTGTACCCAGCACCCCACCGGGACTGCCGAGCCCCTCTGCGGTGGGCCGATTCAGACTTGGCGGCGGCGGACTTGCCCGTCGCACTTGGCAATTCTTGCCAGGTTCTCCAGGTAGCTTTCTCCCAGAAAGAACTGTGAAATGGGGTTAGCCTGTGTTGCCACTGAGTGAGTACAGGTGTGGAATGGTAGGGACTTGGAATAACCCGCAAAGGCACTAATAACGACCTTAAGATTGTTTTCTTGGTTCAGGCTGCTTCCAAGTGACCTAGCTTCGGTGCAGGCCAGCAGCAAGCCTTTGCAAGTGCAAGGGCTACGAGCTCAGCGAGAAGCCGACCCTAGCCACCTTGTTCTGCAGAGGTGTTTCCAAGGGAGGGCGTCAGTCTTTTTTGGAAGGGTTGACGCCAGCCCTCTGTTGTGAGTCTGGACAGAGACGGTGGATTGGGAGCCCCCCTCCCGGGGGCTTGGAAAGGCCTCTTGCTAGGGGACCCAGATTCAAGGCTGAGTCTCTTCCTCTGGGGAGACCCGTATTTGGGTTGGGGAGTTTGGGGAGGAGTCGCTGCAGGCAAAGGTGGTCAAATTCCTCCTAATTGCTGCATTCCGCAGGTAAAGGATCTGGTGATTAATATGTTAATATCCTATGGGTGAAAGAGATCTTTACAACTAAGCCTCAACGCCAGGGCCAAGTACACTCCAGCCAACCAAGTAAATCAAATTAGGAGACTGGCTTTGGAAAATACCCCTGCTCTCTGCTCCAACAAGAGTTAAGGCCAAAATGCAACAATCCAATTGAACCCTCGTGGGAGATTTTATGTCACCTGGAGAACCTTGTCATCACACACCACACCGCTCCTAGCGAACTCAGAGAGCATCCGAGAGCCCACTGAAGGCCTGCACCTAACAGCCCAGGGTCTTTGCATTCCTTCAGCTCCTTTGCTAGCAAGGGCGCTTTCATCGGAATCTGAGGTTGGCGCTGCAGGTTGGCGGCATTGAATCATGGGGAACTGGAAGGTGCTGTGCCTGCCGCCTCCCCCTTCATCCCAGGGCTGGTGACCTTTCGACCTTTCCACCCGGGATGGTCTTACAATAGACCAAAGCTTTTCATTTCTTGATCAAGGCACTCAATATGTGGCCTAAATACACAGTCCTAGCTAGAAGCCGATAAACAACCACGGGGCGGTGTCAAGGAAGAAGCGGGATTGGCCACCCGACGCCTTCAGAGCAGCAGCTTTTTGTTTGCTGGAAGCCAGAGCACCTCAGAGGGTTCCGAGGATAAGTTGTTCTCGCTTCATCAAAGTCAGGCCCCACGCTGGGCTCGGCCGCACTTGAGTCCTGAAAGGGCTGTGCTGAGCCTCGGTGGGTGGGAGGGCCGCCCGTGCTGACCTGGGCTAGCCCAAATGCCGGCGGTTCCCCTCCCGTCTCCGAGCCGGCAAGGAGCGCTTCTTCTAAAAGGTCGGATCCTAATCGGACGCGGGATATTGAAAATGGTCGCCTCAAAGGCACGGGAGAAGTGGAGGGGCGGGTACCCGTGACGAGAGGCGGTGCAGCGCCCTCGCCGGCTCTACCCGCAGCTCACTTCGCAGATCTGCGGCCCGGGGAGGCCCTGATTTGGGCCAACGCTCCAGGCAGAGGAAAGCAGGCAGTACGAGTGCCCTTTGTGCTCAGCGACCGCTGGCCCTGTTACTCTACAGTCAGGGTCCCTGGAGTTTCCTGATGTAAGCAGCCCCAAGAATGGAACCTCTGCCCCACCTCGAAGTGGACTGCTTCTACGCGGGAAAGACCTCGAAGCCTTGGAGGGCGATAAGGGGCGACTCTGGCTGAAGATTCCAACGGAAACCAACAAACGGCGCTATTGTAGCGCCCTGGGTCCTGGGAGCCCGGTGCCCAGCCCCGGGCGAAGGGAGTCCGAGCTCTCTTCGGAGGGCGGGGAGACGAATGGGGAGGGGACGCTTGGCTGAGTTCCCAGCGCCACGTCCAGTGCTCTACGCGCCGCCAGGGGCTCCCAGGGTGAGAGTGCTTCGGGGCACTGTGTCTCCTGCCTGCCTCTGCCTGTATTCTGCTTTCTTCGCTACAGGCGTGGTGCACCAAGGAGACGGTGCAGTTCAAGTCCCGCCAGCCCCAGCGGAACCGAGGCCCCTCGGGCTGAGCACCTGCTGCGACACTTCTCCCTACCCTCAAAGAAAGTCCAACGGCGGAGCTGGTGGTGCCTGCCTCTGCACGGCAGGTGGACCCAGAAAACTGGCGTCGTGCCAGTTTTCCTTCCCCCACCCCGCGCCCGCAAGAGTAACCTTGTTGATCTCTTGCAGGGGTAGCTTGAGATCAGGAACTTTCCTCTTAAGTTTCAAGTTTCGATCGAAATTTGGCGTGGCTCTTACTTGCCGCCGCGCAAACCATCCGAGAGCCACCGGCCACAGAGATCGGTTTAATAATGTGCACCGCGGGAAGCCGGGAGGGGGTGAAGGGAGGCGGCCAGTCCCAAGCACAAGATTTCTGGAAACCTGACAGGAGGGTGTGATGTGAAAATGATCTCACCGAAGCTGAAGACAGGTGTGATCAAACGACAAACAGCTGGAGGCAGTGAGCAGGTTCCCCAGAGGCGCGCAGCCTGTGCCTTGAGAAACGTGCCGCCCAGGCGCTGTCACCACAACGGCTTACTTGGGTCCGAAATTTTGGAAAGAATCCTGACATCTGTCAAACTGCTGGGCGCCAGGCCGCGCGTCGGTTGGGTAGTTTCCTAAAACGCGCTTCTCTTAGCAACAGCTTTGGGGGCCCGGAGAAGCCACAAGGGCATGTGCGAAAGGCGATGGAAGGGAAAGAGCTAGTGCTGCACGTGGGCTGCTGCCCAGAGGTTGCTTCAGAACAGGGCAGGTTTGTCTAAGAAAAGTCGCGCGAGGTGGGGACTGCGGAATCGTGCCGCTGTCTGAGGCATGCCTTCCCGCTCGCGTTAGCTCTGTGCTGTGCAGTGATGCACGTGCGCGCGTGCACGCACACACATAAGAACACACACACACACACACACACACACGCACACACACACACACACACACCCCTTCCAGATTGCTTACCCTAAACCCCAAGCCGCTAACCCACCCAAGTGACTGGAATTCTAGGCTGAGGACAAGTCAGACTAAGCGGATCAGACACTCCAGGCTTCATGACCCCACTGGGTTGGGAAGTCGCCTAGGAGTGAGGATTCTGAAGCCAGCGGTGCCAGCGGGTGACCTGCTCTGTCCCATCTGCTCCACCCCCCGACCACGGAGGCGTGGTTTTTAATTGTAGTGCAGAGAAAGGGGAACCAGCTCGGAGCTCTAGTGTCCCGGGATCGCACGGTTTTGCATTAACGCTATATATATATATAACCCTTTATAAAAAGGTTCTTGTATTCCATACTTAAAATGTATGCCTTCCTTTCTGTTTTCCCACCTTCTACTGGCCTGGGGATGGGGCGAGAGCCCATGTCTTGCGAACACCTTATACTGATTTGTGCCAGGATTGCTTGAATGGCTTTTTATTCCCACTGGCCAGGGCGGCGCGGGGAGTTTCAAACGCTGTGTCACTTGCTTGATCTGGCGGCAGCGATTGTCGGGGTTCTCTCTCCCCGCAGCCAGGGTCCCCTCGCTGCTAGTGTTTGGCAGACAACCCGATGTGTCAGTGAATGTTCCACTCCTGTGTCCTGGGACTGCGATCAGGGAGGCTGTAAAACAAGAAAGGAGAAGCACGAAATCCGTTAGCAAAGCCAGCTCCCGGGGGAGGCGGCGCGGCTGCGCGCCGAGAGCCGCGCTCAGAGGTCCTGGCAGGTGTGCGCTGCCAGTGGAGGGGGCCCGGCCGTCCACCCGGCCAACAGCCTCGGCTCGGCTCTGGCCACCGCTCCCCCCTCCCCGAAACTTTTCTTTCATTCGGAGAGGCTCCGTGTTGCCATGAAAACGGATTTTCCAAGGGGCCCGACCCTCCCCCTCAGGGGCATCGGACTGGAAAAACCGAAATGGCCAGGGAGCAGACAAAAAGGGGCCGCTAAACAGGGGCCGGCAAAGAGAGTGGAGTCCGGCTCACCCACTAGGTCCCACACCAACTCCCACACCACCGCGTGAGAGCGTGCAAACGCCTCCGCTAAGACTCAGGCGGTGGGCGCGCGATTGCGCGCCCTCCAGCAAAGCCACAGCGAGCCACAGCGCCCGCGGCACTCAGCAGTTCCGAAGCCTGTCGCTCGCGTCTCGTCCCCGGCTCCCGCTCGCACCCGCACGCACTAGCCCGGGGTGGGGGGTGGGACTGAGAAGCCGGCCACCGATTCCAAAGAGTTTCTCGGAGGAGCAGTCCGGGGCACCTCAAGTCCTCCTTGGTAGCTAGGGATGCCCAGTGCCCCTAGCGCCGGCAGCAGAAGCGACCGCGGACAACGGTGCACGCTACCGGAAGCTTTGCGGACTGACCGCAGGACACCGTGCCGATCCGCCTCGATAAGGTTGCAAAGTTTTTCCCCCACCCGGAGGACGCCCCTCCATCCCCTCCCCCCAATCTTGCTCGGGTGCCTCCTTCCCCCACCTCCATCCTCTCCTCGGGTTTCGGTCTTTCAAACTTTTTGAGACCCTAATTGATGGTTTCTAAGTGGTTCTTCGGGACCCCGGCCTCTTGAATAACTCCCATCACAGCACTCGCCCCAAGAGGCACGGGGGTGAAGGTGAGGGCTCTCCGAACTTTTTTTTTTCAGCCGGGCCGAACGGGGGTCGGTGATGATTGGCCAGGACTCATCACAGCGAGCCTGTCAATCACGGGGCCTCTGGGTGGCGAGGGGGCGGACCGAGCCCCAATCCCGGGGGATCCGAGCAGGTATATAAGGGGCCCCGGCCAGGGCTCGGCCACACTGCGAATGCAACCAGCTCAAGATCTCGCGGCAGGTGCGAGCAGCCCGCGGGTTCCTGCTGACTTTCCTCGGAGCACTTCAGCAATTCTGCCCTTCCCTCCCGCCCCGCTGGCCCTGCGGCCCCCAAGCGCCCTTCCGACGGAGTCGCCGAGCCTTTTCACCGTGGCCGCTCCAGCCCCGGGAGCGCCTTCTCCTCCCGCCACACTGGCGCACCTTCTTCCCGCCCCGGCAATGTACAGCCTGCTGGAGACTGAGCTCAAGAGCCCAGTGGGGCCACCCACCCCGGCGGCGGGGACGGGCGGTCCTGCAGCCACGGGCGGCGCGGGCAAAAGTAGCGCGAACGCAGGCGGAGCCGCGAACGCGGGCGGCGGTGGCCACGGGGGTGCGAGCGGTGGTGGCGGTGGCAGCGACCAGGACCGCGTGAAGCGGCCCATGAACGCCTTCATGGTGTGGTCCCGCGGGCAGCGGCGCAAGATGGCCCTGGAGAACCCAAAGATGCACAACTCTGAGATCAGCAAACGTTTGGGCGCCGACTGGAAACTGCTGACCGACGCCGAGAAGAGACCATTCATCGACGAAGCCAAGCGACTGCGCGCCGTGCACATGAAGGAATACCCGGACTACAAGTACCGGCCGCGCCGCAAGACCAAGACGCTGCTCAAGAAGGATAAGTACTCGTTACCCGGCGGCCTGCTGCCCCCCGGAGCCGCGGCCGCAGCCGCTGCAGCGGCCGCCGCGGCCGCGGCCAACAGCCCGGTGGGCGTGGGCCAGCGCCTGGACACGTACACACACGTGAACGGCTGGGCCAACGGCGCGTACTCGCTGGTGCAGGAGCAGCTGGGCTACGCGCAGCCCCCGAGCATGAGCAGCCCGCCGCCGCCGCCCGCGCTGCCGCAGATGCACCGCTACGACATGGCCGGCCTGCAGTACAGCCCCATGATGCCACCCGGAGCCCAGAGCTACATGAACGCCGCCGCCGCGGCCGCCGCCGCCTCGGGCTACGGGGGCATGGCGCCCTCGGCCGCCGCCGCGGCCGCCGCCGCCTACGGGCAACAGCCAGCCACCGCCGCCGCTGCCGCCGCGGCCGCCGCCGCCATGAGCCTGGGCCCCATGAAGTCGGAACCCAGCTCGCCGCCACCCGCCATCGCATCGCACTCGCAGCGCGCGTGTCTCGGCGACCTGCGCGACATGATCAGCATGTACCTGCCACCCGGTGGGGACGCCGCCGACGCCGCCTCTCCGCTGCCCGGCGGCCGCCTGCACGGCGTGCACCAGCACTACCAGGGCGCCGGGACTGCCGTCAGTGGAACGGTGCCGCTAACCCACATCTGAGCGCTGGCCTGTGTCCGTCGCCCCTTGCCCCCATCCCGCCCCGCACCCCCAAGTTGGGACGCCTTGTTTAGCTTTGCTTGCCTGGGACTGACTGACTGTTGCCTTGTCCGGATGGTGGGGAGAACAGAAAGTTTTGCTGTAGCTGTCGGGTTTTGTACAGAAGCAAAAGAAGTCGGTAGCAACGGAAATGGGACTTTTCCCAGAGGTCGCTTGCCCCTTGCTGCTACCTCTCCCTCCCCCTTCGTAGGCTGGGAATCGCAGTGATGTTTGCAAAGAAAAAGCAGCCCCCCTCTTCCCGGGTTCCTGACTTCTGTTGCATTTGAAAATGTTGTCTCCTTAGTTTGCAGCTAGCCGAGGAGTTAAGGGAATGGGAGAAGCTTACTTTTGAGTAAGGCTGGCCTGAGAACTGCAACGCTCCCGCCCCGAGTCGCGTGCCATCTCTTTTCTTCGTGGCTTTTTTGGGGGGTGGGTGTGGGGGGTGCTGACCGCGCCTAAGGGCGCGTCAGCTAAAACCAATGTTAATTTATAGTCAGGTGCGCGTGTGTCTCCCGCCTCGCCGCCCCTGGCCGCGGGACAGCTTCTGTCCAGTTCGCCTTTAGCCTGTTTGAGTTGGTGTTTTCTGCCGTGATCTGTTTGATATTTTGTCGCGCTAATGTGTTCGGATTTCGTTTGGGTAGTGGGGAAGGGGCTATTTTGTTTCAGGTTTTTTCAAGGTTTTACTCGTAATTGCTAAATAAGAGATCAATAAATTTTATAACCAATATGGTGGAGTCCTGATAATTTTGCGGGCATGGAACTTCCCCTGCGGGCTTGGGGAGGGAGTGAAATATGAGGGTTTCTAATCGAGGTCCCGTGCAGGACGGCGGAGTGGGACCTGGAAGGTGGCGGGCAAAATCTGAACAGGTTTTTATTTCTTTAGTTTTGTTTTTACATTGAGTAATAGCCACTAGCTCCCGACATTCGCAGCTGCAAGCCCGAGGGGAAAGCGGTTTGTTTGCCCGGCAGCGTTTCCTGGAGGCGCCAGCCCTGGGGCAGCACACTTGTTGGCTGCGACGAGGGTGGGTTGAAGGCGTGCTTGCCTCGGCCGTCTCGCCGTGCGGGGAGGGGACGCCAACGGCCGTGAAAAGCGACCCGGAAAGGAACATTTTTACCTTTGTGCACTGGGGCGGGACGACACTTGAGCCGGGCTGAAATATTTACAAAACGAAACCCTTCGGAAATGTCCATGATTCTAAGACTAAATGGTTCCAGGAAATCTGGAGTAGAAAACCAGTGATGTTTCACATGTGGTAGGTGACCCCGACGAGTCGGCGTGAAACACCAACAGGTTAGGGATTTTTTTTTTTAAGCACGATTTATTGAGAAGTCCTCTCAAACTCACTAGGACCCTTTCTGTTGCTAAATTGCCCACAGGGTACACTTACTAGTTCCCTAGCGCACTTTCTACTCCTTTTTGCTTGCCGCGCCCGTCCCCATCCCTGACCCTGGTTAGGCCTTTGGAGTGTGCCACCCAAAGGGCCTTTAGTTTCGCGCCCGAACGAAGTTTCTGTGCATGTTTGTGGCCTAGGAAGAAAACAAATAGAACCAGTGCTTTTTTACCCCTTCTTCAGCTGTTTGAGGTGATTTCCTTAATCCCTTTAATCCTGTTACCTCGCTATCCCAGAATAACGAAACTCGGCCTTTCCAATAAGCTTGGCCTGGCGCAGCGTTTTCATCCTCATCCACTCTTGACCATAGGCTTCTTTGCATGAGGTCCGCTGGGACCCTAGGCGACAGAATCTTCCCTAAATTAGTCCAAATTCCACATTTCCAGCCGACTTACTTTGTGCGGGCCAGCTATTCACCTGCAGGCCCCGGCCTGGGGCGGGGGGGGGGGGCGAGGGAGAAGGTTTACAGAAGCTTCGGGGGTCAAGCCACTTTTCACACATCACTGCAGATCCTGGAGACTAAACCCACTCTCTAAGAAAGGTCGGCTCTCCTCCTGCTCTCCCCCTCCCCCTGCCACCGGGAGAAGCAGAGCCACCTCTTCCACAAGACGTTGGCACTGCCACCTGCACTCCATCACTCCGCCCCACCCCCACCATGCATGCATTACCCTCTGGCCCTGCTGTGTTTGGGCTCAGGCGGGTCTCGGCCTCCATACCACCACTTCCTCTCCGGGTCTCAGGGCCGCAGTCCTCGGGCCCCTGCTGGCAGCTCACTGCTGGAGCACCAGCAAATGTGACTGCGGCTAGTCCCTGGCTGCCTGGACTGTGGGCCTCGTCCCACTGCTGCTGCAAAGCCTCAGCAGCCGGAGCAAACTTGTCCTGTACTCCCTTACTTGTTTGCACCTTTCGGTCTTAGGCCTTCGGTAAAATAACCTGTCCTTGGGTTACTCGACTTCCCAATTGCTGGCAATAGGGGACTCAAGGTTGGTATTGAAATGACTCTAGGAAAGAGGGTCAAACAAGCAATTTGCGCCCTCCCCCCTAGGGGGGGCGGTGCCAACCGGGAAATAAACCCTGACACTGCTTCTTTTCCTGAGTGCATTGTGCTGTCCCCTCAGAAGCATCAGGGTCACCCTTTCGGGGTCTCCCATGTTGCTGCGGCCCTCTCTAAATAGCCACAGCTTTGTGCTGCACTTGAGTTTCCAAGGCGTCCTTGCAGCTTTCCTCCAGCAGCAGCACATTTGGAGAATTGAAATGCGGATGACAAAGATATACGGATGAAAAGACACCGACATAGGTTTAAGTAAACTTCTGCAATTAGAACTAAGCTGACCTCCACTGGTCCCAGTTTTTCAAAGTAGAGCCCTCTCTCCTTGTCCTCCGCTAGGGCATTCGTACCTTAACTGACAACAGCAGAGCTCTGGTGCAGGACTCCCACCTCCTCCCTCCCCTTGCCTGTTTCACACATGAGGAAACTGGCTCCCAAAAGCGAAATGGTGCTGTTCAGGCTGCCTTAGCCAAATCACAGTCAGGCCTGGACGGGAGGCTTCCTCTGCCAACTTCGCCACAAAACCGAGAGAGAAATGAGTTCTCACAGCCCTAGGTGCCCTCCCAAGCTCGCAGTGCGGCGGGCGATTTCTGCAGCACACAGCTTGAGCAGCCATCACCAAGGGGCAGGGGGGAGGGGGGCAGGGGAGCAGGCGGTCCATGTGGAGGGCTAAAGTCTAAGCCACCCTTTAGCCTCTGGAACGGGAGCTCAGTTACGTTTTTGTAAGAACTTGCCTTGAAGATTTGCTTTCTTTCACTAATCCTCCTTGAGGAAACTTACTGGGGGGGGGGCCTGAGCACAGGCCCGCGAAGGCTTACAAGCAGCTGTGTACATCACAGACGCCCCCCCCCATGCTGAAAAATTGCAAACAACTGGGTGTGCAGCAAATGGGGGAAAGTTAAGTTTAAAAAATGTAAAGACTACTTTTCAGATATTGCAATCGCTTTTGAAGAGATGCTAACAAGGAAAAGTGTAAGACACAAAATGGAAAAAAAAAATCAAAGATGCACAGAACTACATGCTTCTGTGTGTATGACCTTGACTATTTGAAAACAAGCATAGATGATTGGAGAAAATGCAAAAATAAAGGGTGGTGTTAAGAAAACTGGCTCCTCTTCCTCGTTGTACTGTGCAATTTTCTCTAATAGGATCATATTCTGGTTATCACCAGAACAGGCAGCTTTAAAATGCATTCTCTCCCTGTTACAAATACGGAGATGTGCCTCCTGGCACAAGCAGAAGGTTGAAGCCTTTGCATCAGCTGTTTGGGGGCTGAGCAGGGGGTGGGCAACCCCAGGAGCAGTAATCCCCCAGCTTTGCCCAGGGTTTGGGGCTGCAGTCAACACCAGCACTCCTTGCACTGCAGAGCAAGCCCCTGCCAAGTCCCCCTCCTGGGCAAGCAGGAGCCGATTAGTTAGCAGCTCTGTCATTTTTCAGACTCACTCACTGGAGAAAAAGACCTCCTTGGGGGGAGAAAGGGGCCAGTGGAGGAACCAGAAGCCACACAGAAATTCAGGGGCCCAGCAAACTTCCCTGCCTTCTTGAGGAGAGCAGCGGAGAGGAAGCGCAGGGCTGGCTCAGGCTGGCCGGAGGGGCTAGGTGGGCGCTGGAGGGCTGACTTGAATGTGCTGCCACCATCCTCATCCACTCCACTGTCATTTCTTGCATTGTCATGGCCTCTTGCTTGCTCTCTGTGCTGCTCTGTCCCTACCAATTTATTGTCCCTAGAATAGTCATCAAGGTTTTTTTTTACACATATTAGTATTATTTTTATTTATTTTTATTGAAAGATTTACAGAGAAAAGGAGGGAAAGATCTTCTGCCCACTGGTTCACTCCCCAAGTCGCCACAACAGCAGGAGCTGAGCCAATCTAAAGCCAGGAGCCAGGAGCTTCTTCCAGGTCTCCCAAGTGGGTGCAGGGTCCCAAGGCTTTGGGCTGTCCTCGACTGCTTTCCCTGGCCACAAGCAGGGAGCTGGATGGGAAGCGGAGCAGTTGGGACATGAACTGGTACTCATATGGAATCTTGGTGGATGCAAGGCAAGGATTGAGCTACTAGGCTATCACAAAGGGCCCTCATCCCAATTTTTAACCATAAATCCAGCTGTGCCATTTCTCTTCTTACATAACATTCTGGTGGCTTCCTATTAAATTACCCCAACCTACCAGAGTCCCATGGCCTCATCTAGCTCCTGACTACCCCTCCGGGCTAGATTCCTTTAACTCTACTCTTCCCTCCCTAGAGCCCAGCCAGCATTCCTTTGACAAACATCTGGCGAGTAGATTAAGCACAGTTACTGTAGTTTCAGAACTAAACAACTCTGGAAGCCCAGTGATTTTAAGTGAAAATTGTTATGTACAGTACACACTTTATTTTAGATCTTCAGGATTTCCTCTAAGTCACGCACAATTTTCCTAACAGTCAGTAAAACCTTCTAGAAAAAAACAAAACAAAACAAAACAAAACATGGCTTCTTTGTATCTCCAGGCTTTTAAACTGGACTGTTCCTTCCCAACTCCTAGATACGCTAATGCCCTCCTGGGCATCTCAGCCCAAGCATCACTCCTTTGGGGGCCTCCCCTGAGGGCCTTTTTCCATAAAAGGACAGTCCTGCTCACAAGCTTCCATAGCTTGGAGACTCTTCAAGTACTGGTGCCAGTGGTTACTTTCAATTTTTGTGTAACTCTGCTTAGGTGTCTGTCTCCTAGTATGTAAATATCTTGAGACTGTATTAGTTTGTTTGCAAACATCTAGTACAATGCCCCTCTCAGAGCAGGGTCTCAAGATTATTGAGAAGTCTTTACTCCGTTTTTAAGGAATTGCTATTCTAGGGGCCTAAAGTCAATGGGATCAGTGCCAGTGCTTAAAAATAAAGACTGGGATTACAACTTGAGCTCCATCCTTATCAGCTGAGGGCTCTTGGGGACATTACCAAGTTCATTGCTTGCTCAGATGTCACAGAAGTACCGCGTGCTAACCAATTGCGTGACTGGAGCCCCGCTTGCTCAGATGTCAAGAGGGAATAGCAAGGTCTCCAGTCTGATGTGAGGATTCAGTGAAACTATGCTTCCTGGGCTGAGCACAGCACCCGGCTCACAGTTATCGTTGCAGTATGTGTTAGCTGCTACCGTCACCATTGTCAGTGGCATCGGCCGACCGTCTAGGGAACTGCTAGTTCCCGCGAGTCAGATTTGGAACTTCCTACCACCATAAGAGATGCCGTTACAGAAGCCAGTTCCTGATACAGAAAGAAGGCAACATAAGACGTCCCCACTAAAAATGAACA